TATAACCTTGCATAATAAAGTGTACATCATAATAAAAAAAAAAAGGGGGTGGTAGGAGAAGTGAACACTCTTTCGTATTCAGAGTTAAATGTCAAGTTTTTCCCTGAGTGCTCTGTGTTCCCTTCTCTGAGGCTGTGGGTCCCTATAATTGCACCAGTGGTGGTACCCCCTATATATATATATATATATATATATATATATATATATATATATATATATATATATATATATATATATATATATATATATATATATATACAGAGCACCACTTGGTTTCCGAACTTTAGTTATCCGAAACTTCCAGTTTCCCGATTGGGGTTGGGGAGTCATGCTACCCGAACAAAGTTCGGGTAGGAAGGGGTCCGCCAAGCGTCACGCCGGCTTGTGGTGGTGGGTGGGAGATGGTCCAGTTTGCCCGCTGTGACTTCACAGATTCACGGCCTATTATTCCTATTATTTTGAATTGCCATAAGGCTGGAATGTTCATTCTGTGCTTTTGTTTTACATATCTGCACAATCAAGAAACATCTGTGCACCATGTTGGCTCCAAATGCACGCATTGCGTCAGTGATGGCTGACTGGTGGGTGGATGGACGATGGAGCTTAGGTGGGAGGCAGTATGAATGAGGGGGGGGGAGAATCAGTGAGAGAGGGGGAGAGAGAGATGCTAGGAGGTAGGGAGAGATGTTAGGAGGTAGGGAGAGATGCTAAGAGGGAGGGGGAGGTAGGGAGAGATGTTAGGAGGTAGGGAGAGATGCTAAGAGGGAGGGGGAGGTAGGGAGAGATGTTAGGAGGTAGGGAGAGATGCTAAGAGGGAGGGGGAGGTAGGGAGAGATGTTAGGAGGTAGGGAGAGATGCTAAGAGGGAGGGGGAGGTAGGGAGAGATGTTAGGAGGCAGAAAGAGATGCTAAGAGGGAGGGGGAGGTAGGGAGAGATGCTAAGAGGGAGGGGTAGGTAGGGAGAGATGCTAAGAGGGAGGGGGAGGTAGGGAGAGATGCTAGGAGGTAGGCAGGAAGGGATGGAAGTAGTGAGAATTAGGGAGGGAAAGGCAGGCTGGCAGGCACAGGCAGGCAGGCACAGGCAGGCAGGCACAGGCAGGCAGGCACAGGCAGGCAGGCACAGGCAGGCAGGCACAGGCAGGCAGGCAGGCAGGCAGGCTAGCTTGCAGGCAGGCTGGCAGGCAGGGAGTGAGTGGTAGTCACGCGGTTGAACCGCGTGACCTTGAGAGATGGGATGTAGGGGGGCGGGTGGTTTGTTGGTGGTGGGGGTGAGACCGGCTCATTCCCGAAGATAAGCCTAACACACACTACCCGTTAGCATGATGGCAGGGAGGGAGGCAGGCTGGCTGGAAAGGAAGCAGGCTGGCAGGCTGGGAAGGAAGCAGGCTGGCAGGCTGGGAAGGAGGCAGGCAGGCAGGCAGGCAGGCTTGCAGGCTGGGAAGGAGGCAGGCAGGCAGGCAGGCTTGCAGGCTGGGAAGGAGGCAGGCAGGCAGGCAGGCTTGCAGGATGGGAAGGAGGCAGGCAGGCAGGCAGGCAGGCTTGCAGGCTGGGAAGGAGGCAGGCAGGCAGGCAGGCTTGCAGGCTGGGAAGGAGGCAGGCAGGCAGGCTTGCAGGCTGGGAAGGAGGCAGGCAGGCTTGCAGGCTGGGAAGGAGGCAGGCAGGCAGGCAGGCTTGCAGGCTGGGAAGGAGGCAAGCAGGCAGGCAGGCTTGCAGGCTGGGAAGGAGGCAGGCAGGCAGGCAGGCTTGCAGGCTGGGAAGGAGGCAGGCAGGCAGGCAGGCAGGCTTGCAGGCTGGGAAGGAGGCAGGCAGGCAGGCAGGCTTGCAGGCTGGGATGGAGGCAGGCAGGCAGGCAGGCTTGCAGGCTGGGAAGGAGGCAGGCAGGCAGGCTTGCAGGCTGGGAAGGAGGCAGGCAGGCAGGCAGGCTTGCAGGCTGGGAAGGAGGCAGGCAGGCAGGCAGGTTTGCAGGCTGGGAAGGAGGCAGGCAGGCAGGCTTGCAGGCTGGGAAGGAGGCAGGCAGGCAGGCAGGCTTGCAGGCTGGAAAGGAGGCAGGCAGGCAGGCAGGCTTGCAGGCTGGGAAGGAGGCAGGCAGGCAGGCAGGCAGGCAGGCAGGCTCTCAGGCTGGGAAGGAGGCAGGCAGGCAGGCAGGCTTGCAGGCTGGGAAGGAGGCAGGCAGGCAGGCTTGCAGGCTGGGAAGGAGGCAGGCAGGTAGGCATTCAGGCAGGCAGGCTTGCAGGCTGGGAAGGAGGCAGGCAGGTAGGCATTCAGGCAGGCAGGCTTGCAGGCTGGGAAGGAGGCAGGCAGGCTTGCAGGCTGGGAAGGAGGCAGGCAGGCAGTCAGGCTTGCAGGCTGGGAAGGAGGCAGGCAGGCAGTCAGGCTTGCAGGCTGGGAAGGAGGCAGGCAGGCTTGCAGGCTGGGAAGGAGGCAGGCAGGCAGGAAACGATATATGGGTGTTGAAGTGAACCATGAACCACGTGACCTTTGAGTGTGTGTGTGTGTGTATGGGTTTGGGGTGGGGGGAGAGGGGGAGGTGTATCGGTGGTGGGGGAGGGACCAGCTGACTCCGTAAGCCTAACCACACTCCACAGACCTGTGACCCAGATTTGTTTCTTAAATGTACAGTACATCATCGTATATTTTAGGCAGGATGTGCCTGCAGGCTGGCAGGATGTGCCTGCAGGTTGGCAGGATGTGCCTGCAGGCTGGCAGGATGTGCCTACGGGCTGGCAGGATGTGCCTGCAAGCTGGCAGGCAAGCTGGCAGGATGTTCCTGCAGGCTGGCAGGCAAGCTGGCAGGCAGGCTGGCAGGATGTTCCTGCAGGCTGGCAGGCAGGCTGGCAGGATGTGCCTGCAGGCTGGCAGGCAAGCTGGCAGGCAGGCTGGCAGGATGTTCCTGCAGGCTGGCAGGCAAGCTGGCAGGCAGGCTGGCAGGATGTTCCTGCAGGCTGGCAGGCAAGCTGGCAGGATGTTCCTGTAGGCTGGCAGGATGTTCCTGTAGGCTGGCAGGATGTTCCTGCAGGCTGGCAGGCAGGCTGGCAGGAAACATCCAGAGGATGTTTGCCAGACGTCTTAATAATCAGTTAGGAACAATTAAGGACTTTTATAAAGCCGATCAGGACATCACTTATTGGTGAGTACAAACAAAACACAGTCGCATTTACGCTATGAACCTGTCGATTTTTTCCCTAGAGTTTTTTAGGAAAAATTTCTTTTTACATTTCTAGTTTATTTTTTCCCCTTCTATTTCTCGTATACGAACTTACATGTTAACCGACGGGTCTCGTCCCCAAGGGGTTCGGAAACCAAGTGGTGCTCTGTATATATATATATATGTCGTACCTAGTAGCCAGAACTCACTTCTCAGCCTACTATTCAAGGCCCGATTTGCCTAATAAGCCAAGTTTTCCTGAATTAATATATTTACTATAATTTTTTTCTTATGAAATGATAAAGCAACCCTTTTCTCTATGTATGAGGTCAATTTTTTTTATTGGAGTTAAAATTAACGTAGATATATGACCGAACCTAACCAACCCTACCTAACCTAACCTATATTTATAGGTAAGGTTAGGTTAGGTAGCCAAAAAAAGCTAGGTTAGGTAGGTTAGGTAGACGAAAAAACATTAATTCATGAAAACTTGGCTTATTAGGCAAATCGGGCCTTGAATAGTAGGCTGAGAAGTGCGTTCTGGCTATTAGGTACGATATATATATATATATATATATATATATATATATATATATATATATATATATATATATATATATATATATATATATATATATATATATATATATATATATATATATATATATATATATATATATATATATATATATATATATATATATATATATATATATATATATATATATATATATATATATATATATATATATATATATATATATATATATATATATATATATATATATATATATATATATATATATATATATATATATATATATATATATATATATATATATTATATATATATATATATATATATATATTATATATATATATATATATATATATATATATATATATATATATATATATATATATATATATATATATATATATATATATATATATATATATATATATATATATATATATATATATATATATATATATATATATATATATTATATATATATATTATATATATATATTATATAAATATATTATATATATATATATATATATATATATATATATATATATATATATATATATATATATATATATATATATATATATATATATATATATATATATATATATATATATATATATAATGTCGTACCTAGTAGCCAGAATGCACTTCTCGGCCTACTATGCAAGTCCCAATTTGCCTAATAAGCCAAGTTTTCCTGAATTAATATATTTTCTCTAATTTTTCTTATGAAATGGTAAAGCTACCCATTTCATTATGTATGAGGTCAATTTTTTTTCATTGGAGTTAAAATTAACGTTGATATATGACCGAACCTAACCAACCCTACCTAACCTAACCTATCTTTATAGGTTAGGTTAGGTAGCAGAAAAAGTTAGGTTAGGTTAGGTAGGTTAGGTAGTCAAAAAACAATTCATGAAAACTTGGTTTATTAGGCAAATTGGGCCTTGCATAGTAGGCTGAGAAGTGCGTTCTGGCTACTAGGTACGACATATATATATATATATATATATATAGTTAGTTTGCATTAGGCAAGTGACATTACAGTGTTCATGACTACATTTTTGGTTCCTACCAGTACATTTTATTTATATATATATATATATATATACAAGAAGGTACATTGGGATTGTGAGAATACATAATATAATAATTACAATCTTGTAAAGCCACTAGTATGCGCAGCGTTTCGGGCAGATAACACCAGACTTATTATTATAAAAAAGTTGTAATAATATCCCTATGTAAATAAATTCTCCAGTAAAGAAAAACAATCACAGCTTCAAACCCTTCAACGGCAATGATGAACATAACTTACTTCTGAACATTTCACGCTCAACATGGTGCCTGTCATCACATTCCAAGATGTGTGCCTGGAATCTTGTGGTTGGCACTATGTGCGTTGCATTGAATGGACACACCTTCATATCCACATTAGGATAATTCTGTAAAAAAATATTAATAAAATAATAAAATCAACTTGAGAAATGCATTACAAAGTTAAATGCATCTGATGGAGCATAATGCATTATAATCTGCCAGAAACACTATATTGTTAGTGGCTTTGCATGAAGGTAAAAATACCAATCTTATGTAAGCTCTCAAACCCATTGTACCTTCCTGTAAATAAAACCAGCGTTGAATGTAATGAAACGCCTTTTTTTGGGCGAGACCTGGAGGCTCCCCGGAGCAATCTAGGCTGAATGGATATGTATAACTTTCTGGCATCAGTCTGTGCGTAGAGTTCTTGCGTACCAGGGACCATGAGTCAGAACATGGCCCCCCTCTCTCTCCCTCTCTCTCCCTCTGTGTGTGTGTAATTACCTAAGTGTAATTACCTAAGTGTAGTTACAGGATGAGAGCTACGCTCGTGGTGTCCCGTCTTCCCAGCACTCTTTGTCATATAACGCTTTGAAACTACTGACGGTCTTGGCCTCCACCACCTTCTCACTTAACTTGTTCCAACCGTCTACCACTCTATTTGCGAAGGTGAATTTTCTTATATTTCTTCGGCATCTGTGTTTAGCTAGTTTAAATCTATGGCCTCTTGTTCTTGAAGTTTCAGGTCTCAGGAAGTCTTCCCTGTCGATTTTATCAATTCCTGTTACTATTTTGTACGTAGTGATCATATCACCTCTTTTTCTTCTGTCTTCTAGTTTTGGCATATTTAATGCTTCTAACCTCTCCTCGTAGCTCTTGCCCTTCAGTTCTGGGAGCCACTTAGTAGCATGTCTTTGCACCTTTTCCAGTTTGTTGATGTGCTTCTTAAGATATGGGCACCACACAACAGCTGCATATTCTAGCTTTGGCCTAACAAAAGTCATGAACAACTTCTTTAGTATATCGCCATCCATGTATTTAAATGCAATTCTGAAGTTAGAAAGCATTGCATAGGCTCCTTGCACAATATTCTTAATGTGGTCCTCAGGTGATAGTTTTCTATCTAGAACCACTCCTAGATCTCTTTCTTTATCAGAATTCTTTAAAGATTTCTCACATAATATATAGGTTGTGTGGGGTCTATGTTCTCCTATTCCACATTCCATAACATGACATTTATTAACATTAAATTCCATTTGCCAAGTGGTGCTCCATATACTTATTTTGTCCAGGTCTTCTTGAAGGGCATGACAATCATCTAAATTTCTTATCCTTCCTATTATCTTAGCATCATCAGCAAACATGTTCATATAATTCTGTATACCAACTGGTAGATCATTTATGTACACAATAAACATCACTGGTGCAAGAACTGAACCCTGTGGTACTCCACTTGTGACATTTCTCCATTCCGATACATTGCCTCTGATTACTGCCCTCATTTTTCTATCAGTCAGAAAATTTTTCATCCATGATAGAAGCTTACCTGTCACCCCTCCAATATTTTCCAGTTTCCAGAACAACCTCTTATGTGGAACTCTGTCGAAAGCCTTTTTTAGGTCCAGATAGATGCAGTCAACCCAGCCATCTCTTTCCTGTTATATCTCTGTGGCCCGATCATAGAAACTGAGTAAATTCGATACACAGGATCTTCCTGATCGAAAACCATACTGTCTGTCTGATATTATATCATTTCTCTCCAGGTGTTCTACCCATTTAGTTTTGATTAGCTTTTCCAATACTTTCACTATTACACTTGTCAATGATACAGGTCTATAATTGAGGGGGTCTTCCCTGCTGCCACTTTTGTAGATTGGAACTATGTTAGCCTGTTTCCACACGTCTGCTACGATTCCTGTACACAGGGATGCCTGAAAGATCAGGTGAAGTGGAATGCTGAGCTCAGATGCACATTCTCTCAGAACCCATGGTGAAACGCCATCTGGGCCAGCTGCTTTGTTCCTCCCGAGCTCCTTTAGCATATTTTCCACTTCATCTCTAGACACCTCTATCCGCTCTATGTTGTTCTCTGGAATTCTTATTGTGTCTGGTTCTCTGAAGAGAGAGTGTGAGAGAGAGAGAGCGCGAGAGAGAGAGAGAGAGAGAGAGAGAGAGAGCGCGAGAGAGAGAGAGAGAGAGAGAGAGAGCGCGAGAGAGAGAGAGAGAGAGAGAGAGAGAGAGAGAGAGCGAGAGAGAGAGAGAGAGAGAGAGAGAGAGCGCGAGAGAGAGAGAGAGAGAGAGAGAGAGAGAGAGCGCGAGAGAGAGAGAGAGAGAGAGAGAGAGAGAGAGAGAGAGAGAGAGAGAGAGAGAGAGAGAGAGAGAGAGAGAGAGAGAGAGAGAGAGAGAGAGAGAGAGAGAGAGAGAGAGAGAGAGAGAGAGAGAGAGAGAGAGAGAGCGAGAGAGAGAGAGAGAGAGAGAGAGAGAGCGAGAGAGAGAGAGAGAGAGAGAGAGCGAGAGAGAGAGAGAGAGAGCGCGAGAGAGAGAGAGAGCGCGAGAGAGAGAGAGAGAGAGCGAGAGAGAGAGAGAGAGAGAGAGCGCGAGAGAGAGAGAGAGAGCGCGAGAGAGAGAGAGAGAGAGAGCGCGAGAGAGAGAGAGAGCGCGAGAGAGAGAGAGCGCGAGAGAGAGAGCACGAGAGAGAGAGCGAGAGAAAGAACACACGAGGAGCAATGGCCTATAGAAACCCCCGTGTGGTTAGAAACATTCTATGCCTGCCATCGACTGGGTCAGGCACCCAGAAAGGTAGGCATCCCAAAACAAACCCTATCTGGTTAAAAAAAAACTGCTACTGAAAGCCAAACTGTTAAGCAGGACTTCCCATACTAAAAATGAGCAAGACGTTGCCGCTGTCTGCGCAACTTCCCTCCGAGGAGGAGCTCCAGACCCCCCGCGGCGGCTATCTGCTCACAGTTCTGAGGCCGAATGTCAAAACCGCAAAACTGTCGACCGGAGGGAGGGAGGAAGGGTTTCCGGGGAGCCTCCATGTCTCGCCCACAAACTGGCATTTCACTCAATGCTGGTTTTCTGGAGGGAGCCTCTTCACTCCCCAGAGCTACTTAACCAAATATAAAACATGAGGGACATACCCAGGAGGCGGTCGCCACTTGCTCCTCAACTTGAAGTCTAGACAACTGGTTGCAACTGCCGACCCAATGCACCACATGCCCAACTAGGGCCAGAAACATTTACTAGACAGTGAGCGGCCAGAACCCTATTCAACCTCCAAAAACCCCGTGCCCAAATATCAGCCCAAGACATTACCAAAGACAACAGCTAATGCAGCAAACTTACTAACATCGTGGGCATGAGGATAGACCGCAGGCTGGCTGGACCGAATAACCTTTGTTATTCGGACGACCTGGGAGACCCAAATCCTAGAACAGGGAAGACGGGAAACCGGGTCAAGCCAAAGTGCATCCTCGGTCACAGAGGCTGTGGCACGCAGATAACGGCGAAGAGCCGCAACTGAACACAACACATGATGCAACCTGGCCGAACCAACCAAGCAACAACCCAAGGACCCCTCTGGAAAGCAGCAGTCATTCTTCGCCAGAAAAGAAGGAGACGGCTGCAAATGAACAAACCTAACACCAACACCAAAAGACCAGAAACCTCTGTGCGGGAGAACATGTACCTCCCTAACCCAACCCCCAGAGCAAAGCAACTAGCACCAAAGAGACAAGGACTGCAACGAACCCCTGCGGTTCAGAGAATGAACTACCAAGAAGAAGTTCAAATGGAGCCGAATCATCGAACCTCGAGCAACCCGAATCCTCCTTGCTCCCAGTGGGCCGAGGTCTCTAGTGCCTGGTATGTCTACTACAGTCCTCCAGCATCACTGCTATTGCCTAAGGAAAGCTACTGTGGGGAGCCTACCCAGAGAAAATGATTGATCTAAGCCTCTTGGCAATCTGTGATTATAACATGTATTTACATTGAATACAAATGAAAAAACTTGTACTAATAGCAACATTCAACTTTTACCTCTCCCGCTTACCTTTTTACACTTGACAATATGTTGAGCCATTCGATGGGGCTGGATCTGGTGAAATGGGTTGTAGGGACACTGTTTAAGCTTCTCACTCAACCGGAAATTCATTCTGATTAAAAAATAAATGAATAAAATGTTTATTCAGGTAAGGTACATACATACAAGAGATTTTCCAAAATTTGACCGATTTATAGATAGAGCTAGTACATACAATGCCTAAAGCCACTATTACACAAAGCGTTTCGGGCAGGAAAAACATTAATGACTAAAACTTAATACAGTACTATAAATTAAGAATAAAGGACCCTGGATTACAGACCCATAATCAACATAAGAGCCATCACTAATTATCATGACAAACGGGCAAGGCTCCACTTCCGCCTTTGACAAGCGGAAGAGGGGGAAGACAAGACACCAGAGGGGCTTGGTTTATTGTACACCCTCGCACCCCCAACCCTGGGATGGGGAATTTGGAATGTGGACATTACCCCTTCCCCCCCCCCCCCTCACTCCTCCTGTTAACAATAATACAAATAATAAATAAAAAACTAATAATACTAATAAAAATAATAATGGAGAAACTTACTGTAATACCCTTATGCTTGAATGAAGGTGAAGGAAAGAATAAATGTGTAGTGTATTAAAAACTAAATTTTCGGATCTAACCTTCATTCCTTCTCAATGTGTTGTATACCATAAAATGATTATACATTGTTCTATTGTTAACATTGTATACAGTGCCTCTGGACATACATCCCCATAGCAATTAACTACCTCCCAGGTACCTAATTACTGCTAGGTGAACAGCAGTTCATCTAGCAGTGAACACCACCTGCCAGCTCGCCTAATAATGAACACCTGCCCATCGCACCGCACCACTTGCCAACAGATGCAGAAGTACGATGGAGAGAGGAAAGTATACAATATTTCAAGTATAGGAATAAAGATATATTTAGGATTTAACATTTTCCTATAAAGTTTCAATAATACCTTTATTTGATGTTGCTACATACCCTTCCCAGCTTGGTGCCTTCTTTGATAATTACTTACATTTATTGAACTTTATCATCATTTACAAAAAGAAACTAACAAAAATGTAGTCATTTTAATCCACAACAGGCATAACTGACGTGCTTATCTCTGAAGCTAGACACAGATATAGTGAAATAATCAATGATGGAGTCAGAGTTTGTCTCCTGTGGATTCTTTCCCATATTGGTCTCCGAATGCATGATAGAAATGATGAGTTGACCAAGACTTTTGATTGTAAAGAGGGAATTAATTACCAACTTGAACTGCCTTTGAGCAGCCTGAAGGCAGTAATATTCCGGGAACACCAACTAAATTTCGGAGATGTGAGGCAAAGCAAAATTCACACCAGTTACTCCATCTATCATCATTCTATTATGCAGGAAGAACCGCACGTCTATGGGTCATCCAATAAGGTTAGCAGACTTCTAGATGTTACCACTGCTAGGCTTAGGCTCGGCTACAAGTACCTCTGGGAGTTTGTAACGTCTGCTGATGTAGATTTGACTAAATGAATAGTTCTCTGTCAGCAGAACTATTCGCATACTTTGCGACATTATTTAATGGAATGTGAAAAAATCACGGAATTTAGAGATAACACCATCAATGGTTTCCAAGAAATGTGTAAGTACTTCATTCATAATGATGTGCTGCCCGAAATCTTAGCGAAGTATCCAAAATTTGCTTACTGTAGGTAATACATGCACATGACTGTAAAGCTGCCGCCCAGTTGGGTGGGTGTGGAGCACATGACTGTAAAGCTGCCGCCCAGTTGGGTGGGTGTGCAGCAAGACTAGTAACTGTGCGACTCATCATAGATGTAAAGTTCCTTGTAGAGTGACTTATGAGCCTCTTGTTGAATCAATTGTGACAAAAGATTATTGATGTGTGTATTTGTGTGGGTGATTAAATATGTATGTGTATGTATACATGTATACGTAAGTATATGTACATGTATGCATGAGCATGTGTACATGTATATATATAACATTAATAATTTTGTAACTAGCGTCAAAAGATTGTTATTTGCTTAGCTAAACGTACTAGTGGGTTCAGTTCCTGAACCGATTATGTACCTCTGTAATCCTTTACACCACCACCCACGGGATGGGTATGGGGTACATATTAAAGAAAGAAATTGAAAAACAGAAGTAGATATGTATGTAAATTATGATGCCAGAAAGGATCACTATTAAGAACTTAATTATAATCCACAATATGTTCTGTATCATTAAAATTTTGGAAACATATCATATTTTCAATTGTTTGTAATTAAAGTATTTATTTAGGAAATACAGTGGTACCTCACATAACGAATTTAATCCGTTCCATGTTCGTCATGCGAAACGGACGTCATAGAAAACGAGTGTCTCCCATGTAACCAGTGTGATGCACTGTGTTTATTGTGAAATTTCCCTAGTGTGCATGACATCAAATGTTCCCCAAAATATAATTTTTCTTTGTAAAATGATAAATTACCGTCCCTGAACATGTCTATGTAAAGATAATTACCAAATTCCACTTACTTTGGCTGTGAGGGCGTGGACAAGGTGCGCTGTGACGTCATCAGGGGCTGGTCGCCCGTGTGTGAAGCTCCCAGACACGGTCGCGCAGGCCAGTCAAGCACCGCGTGTTGCCACAAATATATTTTCAAATATTTTTCCTATGCATTTCCAATGCGGTTTTATTTGTTTCTTTTATCGTATATGATGCATATTTGTGACCTTTACAATATGTATACAGTAGAATGTTCATAATTTTCCATGAAACTGTGATACATGTGTCAGTAATGTGTCCACAATAAATGTTTATTGTCACAATATTACGTGGTAAAAATTCACTAATATTACAATATGTACAGTTTCACATACTATTTACACAGTAACACACTGTATTACACACTCAGTACTTTGGAGGTGCGTAATAGTCAACGAAGTAGTACATGGTACACAGCGCGACTTTGCTCTCCTTGCACCAGCTACAGATAGATTTTTGTTTCCTGTTTCATCGTTCTGTGTGCTTGTAAATAATGCACTCGCGTGCACCCTTGGCTTTAGTACTTGTAGGTGGTATGTAGCCAAGCTTGTAAAGCATATAGTAGTATTGAAACGATTATAGGAAAAGCTCAATTTGTAAGGTAGTCTTGAAAAGATCGCTTTGTAAGGTCCCACACAGGAAGAGATTCAGCTAGCCTCAAAGAGTGTCCATCAGTCAGGAAGAGATTCAGCTAGCCTCAAAGAGTGTCCATCAGTCAGGAAAAGATTTAGGTATTCTTAAAAATATCAATGAACACCTCCACCATGGAAGCCGCTAACACTGTTCATCTATGCTACTTGTATCAGATGCATCATCACTGAACGCAGAAAACGATTCATCTATGTATCATCTATATACATTAGAGATGGCAAGGGTGGGGCTCAGAGCTACACCTGGATACGCTCGCTGTATCATCCTCATAGGTGCTGTATCACAGGCATCCGACCGTTGTGTTAAGCCCTTATTGCGCCTAGCTTCACCAATGTTATGACCCTTATGTTCTTCAAACAATAGGGTCTGAATTGCACTGACTGAGTACAGTCTTTCAACACCATGTGGGACAGGTGTTTGAGAGCCAGAGGCACGTGTGCTACAAATGGTTGCTCACACACTACTAACCCAGCCAGCAGCCCTTGTCTTTCATATTCGTTATAGCAAAAGGTTCGTTCAGTGTTTGTTGGGTAGGCTGCTCCATTATGACAATCTTTGTTTCAAATGTGTTCCATTTGTTTTGTATTTATCACTTACGTCTCGATAATGGAGCAGCCTACCCGACAAACACTGAACGAACCTTTATGACATTTGTCCATTTTCCAAATTGTTTCAACAGTTTTATTTTATTTTTTTTTTTTTTTTTTTTTTTTTTTTTAAGAAACATGGAGCAGCCTACCTGCCGACCACCGAACGAACCTTTTGCTATAAGACAAATGAAAAATAAATATTGAACACATTTGAAGAAAGGAAAATGTCATAATGGTTTATTCAGTGTATGTAAGGTAGGCTTCTCCATTATTGAGACGTAAATGACAAATACAAAACAAATGGAACACATTTGAAACAAAGATAGAAAAGATAGATTGTTATAATGGAGCAGCCTACCTGCCGAACACCGAACGAACTTTGACATTTGTTGTATATCAGATATTTCAATTCTTTTTTCCTACAAAAACGTCAATGCTTTGCAACATCTCAGCAGTCACCCTTTTATATCCCAGCATCATTAGCATCTTTAAACAAGAACAACATAATTTATGTGCATCGTCGGAGGCGTCTAAGAATGTGCAAGCAGGAGCGCGACCCCACCATGTGGTGTTGACGTTACTCAAACCAGCGTTCGTCATACGGGACGATTTGACGCCGATCGGGCCGTTCGTTACCCAAAATATTCGTCTTTTGGGGCAATCGTTATGCGAGGTACCACTGTATGTATTTTAGTTACCCTAGTTAGCTCTGAGAACACACATTCTTGCAGCAAGAATTTCTTTCCACCAATTTGAGAGGTGCTAATGAGACCAGTCTCGACCCACTGGACAGGTCATGAACAACAATCAACTACAGCACCATCTATGTCAGAAGATATTCAAAATGTTCTTGATATTCAAATTGTTAATACGAGAGCAGAATACACAAGTTGGGTCATGTCAAAGGAATCATATTGACTGACTGAGCCCCACTGCAAATATTTGTGGCTTCCTGACCATAAAGTTACCGCCGCAGTCAAGGATAAGAGACAGGATGTACCCAGTATACAAGCCACACTAGCTATTAGTTCATATAAGCTGACAACTTACCCAGATAAACAAAACTTCCTAATAATATATATTCAATTAATACAAATTAAATGTTTAAATCGTGATTATATATGTATCATGTGGACAATTTTTAATGTATTTTTTCCCCCAGATATTCGGGCTCTTTATTATGCTTCGTCTTGAGGCAAAGCCTAATACCTTGCGCCATATTGATGCTCTATCCACAGATCATTCTCTCTCTCAAATCACATACACTGATAGTTTCCTACACTGCCACACGGGTGCAGCTGCA